GTGGAGAATAACAGAGTAAGGCATATGTATATAAAACAGGAGAACGAAGTTCCAACAACAGTTCAGGTTAAATAAAATCGCTATACTGAAAGTCAACACTGCTGTCACGTCGGCTATATTACAGAAGTTTGGATGGTCCTATGCCTTGTGGCTTTAATATCAAGAACCTGCAATCTGCTTTATTGCTTCTACTGCAATTATAATTATATTAAAAGTCGGGACGTTTGTTTGCTTACATATCTCCCCGCAGTTTTAGTAGACAATGCACTTTTGTGTATTAAAATTTGTTATTAAATTTAATTTAGACAATTTTCTTTTAAGTATTATACCGTTAATTAACGCATATATAAGCTAAATGTTAATACTAAACCTGAAATCTTAATTATATATTAAACAGAAAATAATCCAAAAATTGGACAAGGATACAGTTGTATAAAAATATAACAAAAGTGGCAGATGTAATAAGCTGTGGTATTCTGGGTTGTAAATACCAATTTTTCGGAGGGACGTGAACTTCGCTCTGAAGATGGAGGAAATGCATCCCTCCGAAAAGTTAGTGGTCACCTACAAGGACACAAGGCGTCACCATCTAGGAGACCACAACCGTCATCTCCGTCGTGAGAACCTCAAACCATACAAGTGACAGAAATGTCATGAATTGCACAACATAAGATTTTAAATATACTAGAACATACGGAGATTGAAAGAAACGAAAACTGTGTTTGGAGTACTTTCAATAAACAAATTGATTTAAATATATATCAGTAAGGCACTTCAGATACCTCAGTACACCAATGTCAGCTTCAAAAGAAACATGTTATATTAAAAAGTTATAAATAATTCTACGCATTCTATGTATTCTACGTATTTTTCTGAGAGTTGCAAATCATGTAAATTCCCAAAGATATACTATCCCATTAAATAACAAATATAAGAAAGTACTGTGAATGTAAATGGTGATGATACTAAGACTAACACTATTTTTACGTTATTACGCAAATTAATGTTTCATATCACATTTATATGTATTATGCATTTCATGGGACATAATTACCCTCAAAATCGAACAGTTCGAAACCCTCATATTGTGGTCTGCTGGGTTGCTGGTTGTATATAAACATTTTGGAAGAATACCGATATCTGAGGATGAAGGAAGCTTCCGAAATGCTGATACACAACCAGAAGATTTATCGCTTCAACCCTGAAGGAGACATGTTCCTCCGAATAGTTTGTACACAATCAGAATACTACCTACTTCAATCCTGCAGATGGAGGCAGCATATTCTTCCGAAACATTGGTAGGTCTATACAACTTAAAGTTTACCCGGTTACACATAGTTTCAGTTACATTTTCATGTAGGACTAAGCGAAAAAAATATGCTACTACAACATTAGATATAAAGATATCAACCACATCTGTGAGTTGGCTGAAGCCTATACTTTTTAAAAGTGGTAAAAGAATATGACTACCATAAACACGAAACTAACAGTTGTGCAAGCCTAATAAATACTGCACGTACTCCTACAAATTACTAAAAAATATGTACATAATAACAGTAACATGCGTTCTAATGAAAAATTATATTTTTACTAGCTGATTAGGGAGTAGTCTATCAAAGAGAGCACCTAAGACGAACACAGTATAATCATGCAGTATAGTAAATAAATGTATGTTGGTCTAAGGCAGATTACTAACAATCGTATGAACTTTTAAAACAGCAAGTTCACAGAAACGTTCGAAGTAATTTATTTTATTACCTAGTATAGAAACTGTCGTTCCGTACTTCTGCAGATACAAACTCATATTTAAAACATAATGCTATAAAATTTTATGTGTTATACAAGCGAGATAGAAAGGTTTAAAGTCGCGATTTGAAAACTACGCGAATGCTTGCAAAACAGTAGAACTGTCTAAAACATTACGTCAATACTACGCTGAAACGTGGTTTGTATTTGCCAATGTATATAAATCAACATTATTCTAAATTCAGTGTCAATCAAACTTCGAGAAAAGACTAGTGCGTGTTGAATCAGGCTCGCGTATGAACTAAATTTACGACTACACTAACTTGTAATATTACATAATACAAGTTACCTACTTAAAACCTTGAAATGGTAAATTTAAATAACGAAAATTCAGCCACGATCGGACCTACTTCGATCGAAATCGAAAGTGAAGCCAGTGATCTGAGAACGGTGCTTAGTTTATCTGCTCGCTTGAAGTAACAAAGTGTACGAAAGTTTACAGTAACAAAAGTATACTCAATCACGCTGAACGAAATAAATAATTTGTTTTCGGGAAAAAGCTGCTTAGGCTGTTGAAGGGTTTCCAACGTTTCGGAAATCATTACACTCTCAAGGGAAGGCCTTTGGTTAACTGAAATGTTCGCCGAAAAGTTGCAAAACCTTCAATATTCTACACGGCTTGCTCCCGAAAGCCGGTATATTAAATTCAGTCCATGAGAATCCTTAGGGCAAGATGGTGAGTGTTTGCAAGTTTATTTCCTAACCTGAAGATATACTAAGCACTACTCACTGTTATAAAGTGCACACTTACATGCATTTTACTTGGTTATGATTCTCCCATGGACTGCCCCACTACGATAATTAGAACAATGAACACTGCCAGAAGCACCAAGAGGCAACAGATGGCAACTGCAACCATGGTGACAATTCAGCTCCTTCCCGCCTAAGACTGCGAATAACACGACCTCACGCGAGCGACAAGAACAGTCGAGTATGAACGAACGAAGCGCAAGAGTAACTGACAAGCCTGCTAGAAAAGCAGGTCCACCAACATCACCTATATCCAACACCAACCCCTACCTTACTACCTAAAGGGGATGAAATATTGATCAGTCCAACCCCCGTCACAAACTGTAGTAAAGTTACTATTCAGTGCTGCCCTCGATCGGTACAAGGGTGCACAAACAATCCATTTGAATGCATATGAATGGCTCGTACAGATACAACATCTAACAAAGAGCAGACACTTCAAAGCCATAGTGAAACATCTCCTTGCCCACCTTAGTCATAAAGAGCCAACTGCATTTGAAATTGTAATTAATCATTCCGCTTACTTCATTAGCATAATGAGAGAAGTCAAAGCGTCTGAGACACTACGCGAACGAGCGGTTTTGGGACGCAGCGGATGTTTTGTCACATTAATGTAACGCACTATTTCAGTAGGAAGCGAGCGCACGTTCGATAATTTTATAGCTGCGGTTTTTCTGCAGCAACATGCTTCATTTTCAATGCGGTGCGATGGACGCCCAGCGGCTGTTGTTAGGTTAGGTTAGGTTTGGTTGGGTTATGTTAAGTTAGAATAGGTTAGGTTACTTGGCTCAGATAATGTTAGGTTAGGTTAAGAGGTGTTAGGTTTGGTTAGGTTGGGTTCGGTGAGGTTAGGTTTGGTTAGGTTAGGTTAGGTTAGAGTGGGATGTGTTACGTTATGTTTGAGAACCTTACGTTGCGTTGTGTGGTTAGGTTTGCGTCGTTTAAGAATTTTTTATTACGGGATACGTAAGTTGAGGTCATGTATCTGTCAATGTCATTAAAGTTAACGACAATATCAACCCTAGGTTTTCCTGAATTAAGACATATAAACCTATCCCAGAGTTTGAAACCACTAAGAAAATAAATATTGGCGCTCAAACAAACGTGGAGTATAAAACAAATGCATTTTAAAATTATATTTTACTTCACAGTCCTAAAGAAACAACAACTTTATTGGTTTAGCGACATTAAGTTAAACAGAAAAACAGCATATGCTATTTTTCATTACACATTCATTTCAGCATGGAGCCCTGTCTTTCTATATTGAGGTGACTGTATCTAGATCCTTTCCTCACAAACTGATTTAAATTTTATGCGTCACAGTTTTCGCTGCTGCAAAAATTGCAAATGCGAAATTTCGTCACAGAATAACATTTGTTTGTTGTTTGATTTTTTCGTTAATGAGAAAACTGTTACTACGACATTATTTAAATCCGAAGAGATAAATGTAGAATTATAATTGCTCGAGGAATTTAACATTCATCCCCTTGAACTATACTCAGCAACATTAAAGATGCTTCAAAACACAAACATTTTCTGTCAATGTAAAATCAGCAGTATAAACGTACTGTACGTGTGAAAGCTTAAGAAACTTATAATTTAAGAAATTTAAATATTTGAAAATATGATATGGTTAACGAAACTGTTTCCATGCTAATGCAGTATTTAATAAAGTTAGCACATTAATAAGTAATATAGTTCCCACTGAATCCGGAACTCCAACCTGAATTTTGTAAATTGTATTCGCGATTCAGACAGACTATTCAAGCAACTGTTAATAAAATAACGTGTAACTCATGGTTAGTTTCTCAGTACAAGAATATAGGCTAAAAGTAGCATAATAATGGTAAAATATAATGTCAGAACAGGTCTCTTTGTCTTAAATTTGTCTTAAATAACACTAACGTCCTATCGTTCTGCATCACATAATTAGTATATCTACCAACCAATTGTATGTATCCTTTCTGAGATAGATACCTGACAACGTAAAGAATCTAAATGGAAATAAATGTTCCAATGCAATAACTGGATTTGTAGGATTTGAGGTTTTCACGGCGGTGAGTCTGAAGAAGGCTGTCTTCTGGGTTGTTGCGCCCTGTAGTATGGTAGAAGTTGACAGACGTTTCACCTTGTTGCGATCCATCGCCCTGATGATGGAGGCAGCAAGGACCTCTGAAATGTCGGTAAACTTCTACCAGACTACACAGCGCAACAACCCAGAAGACAGAAATCTTCATACTCATCGCCCTGATGAAGGAGGCAACAAGGACCTCTGAAATGTCGGTAAACTTCTACCAGACTACACAGTGCAACAACCCAGAAGACAGCCATCTTCAATAACTGGGTGTGAAAAGAAATATCCTCTCTCAACTTGCTTTTCAAATAAAATTACGAAACATTACTTTTGAAGTCATACGTGCAACAGGTTAGTTCTTAAAACTTACCAGAGGTAACTTGAAGTAAGATGACGAACAAGCAGAATATCGGCAGAACAAGACTTCTCCCTGAGTTGTGCCAGTATGCTGGGGCCATACTGTGTCCTGCAACAACAAGTCTTGTTACCAATGAAATGAAATTTAATTTAATCACAGAACATCGAAATAGCTATAAGGGGCAGTCTAGCAGCCTAATCCTTGCTGGACTGAGTGGTCTTGGTGCTAAAAGATCTCCATTTCGTGTGTTAGTGCAACACAAATAAGAACGGAATAATTTATACTAACTTGTGTTAAACCTGTTGTGTTAATGTCCAGGCTAATTTTAACCAAAACCTTCAATCTATTAATATGGATACTGCGAATATAAAATATCAGAAACAGTGAAGGATCCTCTTTGAGAATAAAACGTAATAGTGCTAGTTAACAGCTTCATCACAGACATCAAAAATTATAATGGTGTATTACATTACCTCTATATGATAAGAATCCTATAACTTCATTAAAGTCTATAAAACACGTCTATGAATGATAATTTCACAATTATTTGCCGAAACTAGGTTCCCCTTTCACCTGTGAAGATGTAGACTCCTTGTTCGCACGAATGCGATGTGTGTGAGGTATCAACTCGCTGAGTGGAATTCTCCTTCCACTGCTAACCTGAGAATATCAACATCATGCATTTTACACTAGCAATTCTATTATTTTGCTGTACACATAGCAGGTATGGGGGCACTACAAACAGGCACTACATCATGGCATTGTCTGAAATTCTGATTATGCAGTGGGCACTGGATTGCGATTGGGAGATTATCATTGTGCACTGATCTGCACGTCCCTTAGGCGAAAGGTGGCTTATCTGGAATTCTACGTAGTGGGTCTTCATATCGAATCTCGATTCGAAATACTGTATCCGATATACAAAGAGTCGAAATATGTACAGCCGAAAGAATTTGCATGCCTCCTTAATGGTTTTTGTACGTTGAGGGATTAGACTTTCTGGTTTGTTGCTGGCTATGAACAATTGTCAAATGGGCTCCAATGCTGTGGTTCTTAAACCCTGGAATGCGAACCAAATTTGGTCTCCATGATAATTTGAGTGGGTCAAGTGTCTCAGTAAAATCTTAATATTGGTTTAAATTTTATTTAGACAAGGTAGTGAAGAAGATAAGTGGTTTTCAAAATGGCAGGGATAAGGACAAAGACAGAAATGCGCATGCTTAGTTTTAATAATCTCGCAGCCCTGCAACGCCATCTATTAACGAAATACAAAAACCAAGCGAAAGGAGCGAACAAAGTGGAGTGGAGTAGAGGAGAGGAGAGTAGAACTGGATCCACCGATTATGGCCGCTGACCTTGTAGGGAGAGCACAATATGCGGACCACCCAATGAAGGAAGGAAGGAGTTTCCGTCGGTCAGTACAGCAGTGTGAAAGCCTGATATTGTTGTCTCGTGACTGTGCTGTGTTAACAACATGATACATGTTCATTGCAATCTCCTTTCTGGTCATTGATAACGCCTCTTATCACAACACTCAGACAAACCACCGACGTCTTAATCAAAGACGGAAGAAAAGAAAGCCTGTCTGTTGGAAATAACATCCCATTTTCAGACAACCTGTAGAAAGCTCAACTGTACAATTTAATCAAACTAAATAAGTCAAAGCACAAATATTATGTGATTGATCATATTTTAGCAGGCAAAGAACGTACTGTGCTGAGAATTCCGCCGTATCATCCCGATTTACACCCCACTGAACTTATTTGGGCAGATATAAAACAATGGGCTGCAAGCAAGAACACAACATTTAAAATTAAGGACGTCGAGCATCTGTGTTGCCAGAGATTCGATGAAATTGGGCAAGAGAAATGGGCGAATGTATGTCAGTATGTGGAAAAACTAGAACAAACTTATTATGAGTAAGAAGGCATGATCGAAGACGCCATTGAACGTATTATAATTAAAGATATTGGAGTGAACAGCAGCAGCGGTAGTGATGAATCGAGTAATATGTTATAGAGCGATGGCCTGTGAGGAGTGGAAGAATTGGAAGAGGACCAAAGAGTTGTGAAAAAGATAAAATTATCAAATACTTTCTGCACTGTTAATTTTCTAGTGATGTGTAGTGTAGTAAAATCGACTTTCCTGTGTTACATAACGTGGTGACATTTTATTTGTAGTGTACTGTATGCGGCCTGCTGCATCCCTACCAGCAAACTTCTGGAAACTGACTTGCTCAAAGGTTCCAATTCACAAACGTTCAGCGGCCAAGAACGCTGGAACGCAGTATACGTAACGCTCGGTTAATTTTGGCAACTATGCAACGTTACATGATGTCACGACAGGTTTGGTTAGGCTAAAAAGATTGGGTTAGGTTAGGTTAAGATAGGTTGAATTAGGTTAGATTACGTTAAGTTAGGTTAGGTTAAGTTAGGTAGGGTTAGTCAGTTAGGTTAGGTAACTTGTTGAAGTTCCTTGTCACATTTCGACACTTATGGCCACATATCCTCACGCCGTTAAGGTGTGTTACGCCTAATCATGCATTGACACGCTTGAACACGCTTTGACACGCTTGAACACACTTTCAAAATTTTCGTAGTATTTAAATACTTATGGTAACCTCTCGTCACGCCTTTGTAGGAGGTTACGCCTAGTCACGCTTTGTCACGTTAGGGAATGCTTTGTATATGTTGGCCACGTTTTAATTCATGGTGATCCCTAGTCACTATGTCAAAGCGGGTCATGCCTGGTCACGCTTTGTGAAGCCTGGGAAACCGTGATCACTAATTCACGCTTCGAAACGTATATTTTTTAAAGTAAAGATCGATTAATTTTCGCTAATTTTCAAATATGTTAGATTAAGCTTCGATATGTAAGTTTAGGTTACAAATTCGCTTACCATAGGCTTCGATAGGTTGGGTTAGTTAGGTTAGGTTAGGTCAGGTAAGGTTAAGTTTGATCACTGTGTTTTCTTAGGTTATTGAAAGTTTTCAAAATTTTTGTGACGTTTTTACACCTATGGCCAAATCTCGTCACGCAGTTACAGTACGACACGGGTACTCTCTCTGTCACGCTTGAGCACGGTAAATAGCTGGTTAACCAAACCAATGTCAAAATGAGGTCATGTATAGGTCAAGGTCATATGGAAGTCACAAAGAAATCTGCCCACTATTTTCCCAGATAAGGGTCTTTAAAACTCTCAAGGTCATATATTATCATACTTATATCTGTCAAACGGTAAATAGCTGGTTAACCATACTCATGTCAAAATGAGTTCATGTATAGGTCAAGGTCATATGGAAGTCACGACAAAATCGGCCCACTAGTTTCCCAGATACGGGTCTTTAAATTTCTCAAGTCATATATTATAATACTTATATCTGCCAAACGGCAAATAGTTGGTTAACAATACTCATGTTAAAATGAGGTCATGTATGGGTTAAGGTCATATGGAAGTCACGACAAAATCGCCCCACTAGTTTCCCTGATACGGGTCTTTAAAATTCTCAAGGTCATACATTATCATACTCATATCTCCCAAACGGTAAAAAGCTGGTTAATCATACTCATGTCAAAATGAGGTCATGTATAGGTAAAGGTCATATGGTAGTCACAACAAGATCGGTCCACTAGTTTCCCAGATACAGATCTTTAAGATTCTCAAGGTCATATCTTCACACGCTTATTTCCCGCTAACCGTAAATACCTAGTTGACTATAATCATGTTAAAAAGAGGTCACGGATGGGTGAAGGACATGGCAACACCACGACAAGATCACACAAACTGTTTGAGAATAAGAGGCCTCAAACGTTTCAAGGTCATTCGTAGTACTATTTTCTCACGCAATACATAGAGAACTGTACGAATCTGAGTGACATTGCAGACAATATTTAGAGGTCATGGATACGTCTAGGTCATGTATAGGTTGCAACATATGCTCAGTTCCCACATTGTGTTGGGATATATTACGTTAGGTTAGGTTGGGTTAGGTTAGGTTAGGTTAGGTTAGGTTAGGTTGGGTTGGGTTAGATTAAGTTTGATTACTGCTTTTGTTAGGTTATTGAACGTTTTCAAAATTTTTGTGACGTTTAGACACCTATGGCCATATCTCCTCACGCCGTCATAGTACGTCACTCGTAGTCACTCTTTGTCACGCTTGAGCACGGTAAATAGCTGGTTAACCAAACTCATGTCAAAATGAGGTCATGTATAAATCAAGGTCATATGGTAGTCACAACGAAATCTTCAAGGTCATATATTATAATACTTATATCTGCCAAACGGCAAATAGCTGGTTAACAATACTCATGTCAAAATGAGGTCATGTATAGGTCAAGGCCATATGGAAGGCACGACAAAATCGGCCCACTAGTTTCCCAGATACAGGGTCTTTAAAATTCTCAAGGTCATATATTATAATACTTATATCTGCCAAACGGCAAATAGCTGGTTAACAATACTCATGTCAAAATGAGGTCATGTATAGGTAAAGGTCATATGGTAGTCACAACAAGATCGGTCCACTAGTTTCCCAGATACAGATCTTTACGATTCTCAAGGTCATATCTTCACACGCTTATTTCCCACCAACCTTAAATACCTGGTTCATTATACTCATGTTAAAATGAGGTCACGGATGGGTGAAGTTCATGGCAAGACCACGACAAGATCACACAAACTGTTTGAGAATAAGAGTCCTCAAACATATCAAGGACATTCGTAGTATTATTTTCTCACGTATATACATAGAGAACTGTACGAATCTGAGTGACATTGTAGACAATATTTAGAGGTCATGAATATGTCAAGGTCATGTATAGGTCGCAACATATTCTCAGTTCCTACATTGTGTTGGGATAGATTACGTTAGGCTAGGTTGGGTTGGGTTGGGTTGGGTTAGGTTAGGTTAGGTTAGGTTAGGTTTGATTACTGTGTTTTGTTAGGTTATTGATCGTTTTGAAAATTGTTGTGACACCTTTGCCCATATCTCGTCACGCCGTTACAGTACGTCACGCCTAGTCATTCTTTGTCACGCCTGAGCACGCTTGGTCACGTTTGGTCACGAATTGAAAATATTCCTCATATTTCGACACTTTTGGCCACATTT